AAAAAAAAAAAAAAAAAGCATTAATTGAAACAAGGATTAATTAGGCTGAATGTAATAGGAAGTGGCCACTGGTGTGAAATGTTGGAGGAAGATAATTAGTTTGCAGCTTTGAGAACACACACTGTGCCGGGTCCCCATTTCAGAGATGCCCCCTCTCCCTGCCCCTCTCTTTCTGGCTGCTTCTCCACTGTGGTCTGTTCCTGTTATTTTAACATCCTCTGCCAGAGCAAGAGGCAACGCCCAGCCTCCATAATGCAATGTGGGATTTGGGCTGGAGGGAACAGAATACTTGTTATGGTCTAAAAGCCTAGAAGTTTTGGGGTTTTTTTTTAAAGAAAAGTCTGCTCCTTGAAGCAAGCATCTTTCTCCTCCCCTCCCCTCCTCTTAATGTCTATAGCACTGAAGGGGGAAGAAAAGCTGGCTCCGATGGATGATGAAATAGATGGAGCTATTGTTATGCTCTCAGAGCTATTTATACACCGCAATATTATGCACACTCTATTGGTGTTTTTCCATCAAAGGCAAAATCGAATTAGATGAAAGTGTTTTCTGCTTGTTTCTTCTCTCTTTATTGTTTGCAATAACTTTTCTCTCTCCAGGTGACTGGGGCGCACTTCCTGCGAAGGCTGATTGGGCCTTCGGGCAGTGGGGGAAGCCAACACATCTCTCTCAGGAGCCAAGGGAGGAAATGCCCAGGCTTTTCATGTCAGCCTCTCTCGGGGCTCAACAGGGAAAATTATTAGAAAAAATACCCATTTCTCACTTTCACTTGAGTTTCTACCGCCTAGACGCCCATAATCAAACAATAAGTCCTCAAGCGAGCTCTATTTTTTTTGCTTAGGATTAATGTGTGTGTGCGTGTGGGCAGCTGTGTGGATCAATTAAAGGGTTGGTTAGTTGATTGATGTTAGTTACAAACCCCTAACCAAGTTTCCTTAAGGAATGAGGAAGACCCCAACACGGTGGCATGGCTGTATATATTCAAAATCGCTTGAAGTATTTTTTTCCTTTTTTTGGCTTATGAAAGGAAGAGTAAAACTCCAGTCTTACCGTCAAATAACTTGGGGGATACCCAAGTCTTGATTCGGCCCTTTATTGTATCCATTACCAGGCTCTCTATGAAGGTGCAGAATTCCAGACAATGGGTGGGAATGGAACACTCTTAGCACTCACACACCATGATACCTTTTGGGTTCCATGCTCCATTTTAATTAAGTGCTATTTTTATTTTTCCCTCTGAAAACCAAGGCTGCTGGCGAAGTGTCTAAACACTTGTATAAAGTGTGGAAGAAGGTTTGTACTCGGACAACAACTGCAGGAAACCTGGGGGTGTGGTGGGGAATGTCGCTGGAAAAACTTTTGTCCTTCCAATTCTGCCAGACCAATAGTTCTCCAGTTGCAGTTTGGAGATGATCTATGTAAAGGGAGGGTGGGTGGGGGTGATTGAATATGTTCTCTTTCAACATTACCCACGAATTGAAAACAGGCTGGGAATGGATTAAATAATGATGGACTATCTATTTCCCCCTGGATTATTTTTGTTTATCCCAGCCTGGTAGGATCAGTCTCTGTTAGGACTGAAAGTAGGTAACTGCAATAGAAGCAAACATTAGCCTGTTATATTCCTTCTCAAATCACTAAGTATTTTCCCTGAGGGGCATGAAAACAACAATGCATTTGCTGTGATAGGCTAGGCAGATAGGCTACCGCCTCAGAAGGCTAGGGCATCTCCGTCAATGTCATCACAGCAAAATACGAGCCATTTTCAGAAATTTCTTTCTCTCGTGAACTATCTTTGTTTTGCACGATCAGAACATACTGTCTCACAATTTGTTTTAGAACCATACTTTCCAGAGGATAAAAAACAAAAAATAGAGACCTTGGAAGGGAAATGAAATTATCTTGTAAATTGTAACACCCACCATTTTGTACTAGTTTATTTTACAGTGTCATGTTGCCAATGAATGTGTGTGGATTTATATAAGCAAGTGTTAGGCATTAAAAACAGTTGGATTGGAAAAGGTCCCAGTGATAGGGAAACATTTTCTTTCAGGCTTACTCTCGTCTCTCTCCCTCCCCTTCTCTAAAAAACCTGTGGATTGATGAGTAGACTTCAAATTACTTCAGATTGTTCAATTTGAACAATTTTGTCAGACGTACTTTCCTCTTTCAAATTAGCAGCTTAGTCACAGAAAGTATAACAGTTACTCCCTGCGGCCGAAAAGCTTGTCTCCGTCTTGGTCATACTCAGTAGATGCCCTTAAAAATGGCCTCCTTTTAAGTTTTAAAAAACACAAGTTTAATAACCTTGTTTTAATCTTCAGTGAGTCAGGCCCTGAGTTCCAGCACAGAGGACCCATTCAGACCCAGCAAACATCACAATTTTCCAAGAAAACTCCATCTTAGAAGAGAAAGATTCTCCTTCCCCAAAAGCTGTCCTCAACACTCTCTTTTCAATATTGAATACTCACTTGAAATTCTTCCCAAAACAGGGAAGAATTAAAACTAAAATAGGTGTTAATAAGGCTCATGATACAGGAAAGAGATATACCTTTATCTCTCATTTAGCGATTTTGGCTTTTGAATTCATGTGAAACACTCCCTAGGTTCGACAGATACTCACAGCTACTACAGTCAATCTCTGAATGCCCTTTTGTTGCATCCCTTTAAAAAAATGTTTGCTTAATGTCACTTGGGCACTCATTTTAAAATGCTTTTCTCAATTGTCCTAGATAACAAATGGCTGCTCTCTCATGTCAGCTTACAAAGTGAACGAAGTCAGGGCCAGACAATTTAGCCTTTGAGTGTTCCTCCCCACAAATAATTGATCCACCCTCCACCGCTTCTCCCTGGTAAATTACTGCTGTCTGCTTTCACGATACAGTTTGAAAATTGAGGTTCTGCTTCCTGGAGGCACTCCTCCAAAGTCATAGAACAAAACCCAAGTAGCAAATGTCCACCAGGCATCTGGTTAACTACATCCCTTCCCCCAGCGCACATGAATCACCAGCTCTGACTTCTGTGGATAGAGGCATTCATGCTGACAATCCATTCATTTACTTCAATTAACAGACAAAGCCACTTCACTACGTTCAAAAGACACGGCACACACACGTGCTTTTCTGTTGTGCAGGTTTGGCAGCAGCAGACTGAGATCATTCACACTGCGTATGTATATGGCCCACTTCTCAGGAGTAGCCCAACCTTCCTTAAGTTTTATGGTCTCCCAGTCTGCATTTGAAGGATCTTCTGTTATGTTTACAGGAAGGGAAAATAAAAGTCACCCTTTTGTCATTTTAAGGAAGAAAATCTACCCTGAATGGGACTGTGGGACTAGTGGATTGGATCAGGAGCAGCAATGAGCTCTTGCCTTCCGCACTTCAGTGGAGACGGCAAAAGAAACCAGGCAGTGAGGCGTATTTGTTTACAAGTTCAAATTTTATTTTAAAAGATCATGGTGTTTCTAGGCCATTCAACACTCTTGTTTTCAAATATTAGTGTAGTTCTTTTAAACATCCTTGACATTAATTAAAATGAGTTAAGGAAAACACATTCTATTAAACAAAGTGGCTGAAAATAGTTATTTTCTCCACCCCTCAATACATACTTAATTAAAGTGAGATTCCATTCACTTCGGTGCCTAAGTCAAGGTTTAATTAGAAGTTCACCCAGGGCCTAGTTTATATGTAGTCTTTCGATGAATACCAATAGTCAGATGTAGGCAGCCTGAATTGTGTTTCCCAGAAGCCAGGGTCCCTGCCTCACAAAAGTGGAAGAAGTGGAGGAAGTGGAAGGAAAGAGGAAAAAACATTGCCCCCATCCTAGGTATAAGGCCAGCCAAAGAAAACTGAAGCATCCTCAACCAATAGATGTATACTGTGCATTCTCCGTGGCAGTCACCACACTGGTATCACAATACTTTCAAATGCAAAAAAAAACCCTCCATACCCACATTTACCTAGACCTGTCTCTTTATTTCCCCAGTCATCTAAGCCTAACAAAGTATAGGAAAATAAAAGTGAAATTGAAATAGTTTTATACTAATGTGTGAATGTGTAATAGTCCTTGAAACTTCCTCAAAGCATTTATGCCTCTAAAAGGAATACTTGTTAAGCTATATAAATTTTCAGCTGCTAAATTTAGACAATGAATCAAAGTAAAGAATTAGAAAAGCTAAAAAGACAGAGCCTGACATTCCTCCATGTCTTCCCTTTGGTGGAATATATTTAAGGGTTAAGCATAGACTCACCCTGCCCATCTCTGAGCATGTCCAAGTGTTAAGTGTTCCTAAACTGCCCCTGTTTTTCATACCTGCTTCACATTATTAGCTTCCAAATTAGAAAAACAGTTATGATGACACTAAATTCTTTCACAACAGGGCCAGCTTGAGGAAATTACTGGGCAGTCCTTTGGATGTCTTTTATTGTTACCGTACATGCAGCTAGCTCTAACACACACCGACACTTCCACACACATCGTGTCATTTGCTCTTCTCATGATCTCCATAACACAGTTCATACTTAGAGAACCAAAGCTCAGAAAGGTTAACACCTTGTCTAAAGATGCACAGGCAGGAAACCCACTTGCACACCTCTCCATGAGGCTGGCAGTAAAAGTCTCCAGAAGGATTCAGACAAATAGCTCAGTTCCCTAATGTTCCTCGCCGGGGCCCCACAGAGCTTAAACAAATCAATATAATTCTTCAGGGCTTAATAGCACAGGAGTGACTTGGTCACTGGAGAAAATGTGGGTTGTAAATTTAAAAAAGAATAATAGACTTTACTGAA